AGTTTCAAAAAACCATTTTCTTCTTATTATTATTATTTTTTAATATGTTGTAATCGGTAAATTTTAATTTAATTTTCTATATATCGCTATTTAAGATAATACAATATATTTACAAAATTATTTATTTTTTTTAAACTAAACATTGCTATTGACTTGTGGATATTTTTTAGTTTATAGGAGTAGCTTACATGGTTATTATATATTATTAACCCACTTAATTTTGCTTTAAACGTTTTTTTTAAGGTTTACTCATCATACTGTAAATGATTTAAAAAACATTTTTTGGTTCATCTTTCAATGTAAAAGAGCAATGACTTTTTAAACCTTAAAGACTTAAAATGATTTTTTTGAAAAAATTGAAACATTTACATGTGGTTCTGAAATAYATCTGTACCAACAGCATAATGTTGCTAGTGTGTAATTTCTTTATAATATTTAGAATCTTTTATTTTTTTAGTATATCAAGAATGTCTTGGATTATCAAGTTAATTTAAGTTGATTAGCTCAATAAATATAATTTAGTTTCATATTATTTATATAAATGATTTTAATTAATATCAAAAATCAAATTTTATTTTTTCTTAATAAAACAATTTTGAGGATGTCCATTGTCAAGTAATTTTTTGTACATTATGAATTATGATTGTCAATTTTCTTTAACATTWAATCATCAGATATGGATATGTGACAAATACTAAAGTAAARTTTTTTGTTGTGATAGACTCTAGCAACTTGTTACTAAGAGATAATGAAATACGTTTTGTAAGTCAATGATAGTTATCTAAATTATTTCATTTTTTATTCTTTCAAATAACTACAAAATATTAATGTATTTTTATATTTATTGATATAGCTTCTAGTAATAACTATGATATATYAATAATTATTTTGACAGTTAATACAATATACAGTTTTTTATAAAATATATTATATAATTTCAGATGTTCCGAAAATTGCATACAGCTTATACCGATTTAATGTGTAATCCTTTTTATATTCCTGGAGAGTATATTACATCTGAGTAAGTATTTATAAAATAATATTACTCTGGATGATTCAATCTTTTTAATAATATTTTTATTACAACAATTTTGAAAAGTGAACCAACATTTTATAAATTTCCCGCTTTGGAATATAAAGCTAAACATGTCATTCTTAAGAACKAGAAACTTAAAAAAATTATAATTGTATAAATTAAGAAGTTATAAAAATAATAACTACTTTTTCAAAAATGTTGTAATGATTTAAAATTTTATTTTTGTAATAAATATTAAATTGGTTCATGTCAAAATTTTTATTACATACCTACTAAATGAATAATTACTATT